TACTTTAAAACTGCTCGATCCGGAGCTGCTGAACCCCTAAACCCTAAACCCTAAACCTAAACCCTAAACCCCTAAAGCCCTAAACTCAGATGGTGGCGGCGTCTGCTTGCAGAGTGGTGGGTTCCGCCAGGGTCCCAACAGCTCGGCGCACTTCCGGAGCTGCGCGGCCGTGAGGGGAGCCTCGGTGCATGAAGGTGCAGCACCCTAAACCCTAAACCCTAAACCCTAAACCCTAAACCCTAAATCCTAAACCCTAAACCCTAAACCCTAGACCCTAAACCGAGCACAACACCACAGCCCTACACCACACCTTGCTCTCGTTTTTTTTTTTTATTTTTATGGTTTCGAGTTTAATGCCCCAACTAAGATTCAAAGTTGTCATGCGACTTGGTGGAGATGGAACCTTCCAAAGACAAGTGGATTGAGGGTCTTCGGCGTGCCTCAAACCCTAAACCCTAAATTGGGGTTTCCGAAAATAGGGGTACCTTATTTTGGGGTCCTTATATTAAGGATCCTATTATTTAGGGTGCTATATTAGGGTCCCCTATTTTCGGAAACTCCCAAATAACCCAAGAACCTTAACACCCTAAAAGCCTAAATCGTCCGGTAAAGTCCTAAACCTTAAAATCAGAAGCCAGACTGGTGGCCCAGGAGGAGGCATCTTCGTGCCGCAGGACAACAGCTACCAGCAGGAATCCGGGAGTTCGGCAGTGTTCCAGCACTGCACTGCAACGCAGCGAGGCACCTTGGCAGTCGAGGCATTGAGGTTTGATAGCCTAGAAGGGCTATTGTTCTGGATTAAGGGTTCTATAAGGGTTTCTATGGGGCTTGAGGGTTTCATGTAATGTTGAAGCCCGGAATAAAGCACCCGTAGCTCTATCCTAAATACTAAGCCCCGTACAGTAGGGTGCAGAAGAGCCTTTACGGATTAGTGGCTTTACCCGCTATATAATTTTCATGATCCTTAAGCCGAACAAGAACTGACGGTTAAAGTTGCTCCAGAACCGCCCGGTGTACCCAAAGCCCCTACACGACAAAGCCTTCAAGAACTCCTTCTACCCGGCAGCTTTCAAACATATCTATAAGCCCTAATATAGGGGCCTTAATAATTTCAGCAGGGTTTGGGGCTATATTATACAATAACTTGAATAAGGAACCCCCAAAACCCTATTCTAATTATTAAGGCCCCTACAGTATAGCCCAAATCATAGCAAATGGCCTAGGCTTCGTCTGGCTGGTTCTCGCCATGGGCAACATAATATAGGGGCCTCAATAACTACCAATACCACCTTTTGGTGTTCCTTTTAGTATGTTTATAGTATAATATACCCCAAAACCCTGTGCTAATTACTAAGGGCCCTGTATGAGACCCGAAGTTTCATGGTTGGCTTGCTAAGGACATGGGGCTTACTTAATCAGAGGTTTCCATTCGCCCTTAACTCCCACATCCCTTCGATGCATACCCTAAACCCTAAACCTAAACCCTAAACCCTAAACCCTTTTCCTTCCATCCAGGCGGCGGCCTGTTCACTGAAGGAAGCTTCTCCCAAGAGGGTCCGAGCACCGTGGTCTTCGAGGGCTGCACTGCGGACGGAGGCTCCGTCGCCGGCGACAGTTTTGTGCTTGGTGGTCCTACGGTGCTTTACAAAACACCACAGTTGCAGTGCATGTTCTCGAAACCCGCAATCGCAGATTTTGCTTCCAAAAGGTGTTCTACTCAGAGTCTACTACTTAAGCAAGAAATCTGCCACCCAGATGCCGGCTGCGCGTATGCGAGGAACGTGAGTCTCTTGGTTCGTGTTCAGAGAAGGGAGGTTCAGGACGTTGAAGACCGGTCTACCCCACAAGAGTAGTTAGCAGGATACAGTTCTGGGGGGTCTCAATGTGTCCAGATCCCACCCAAACCCTAAACCCTGAACTAGCCCTCAAAACCAGCTCCCCAAAAAGCTCTACAAAGCCTCGAAGCCCTAAACCTCAAAGGCCACTTAAGTTTAGTCTCGATAGAAGAACCCTAAACTCCTAAACTCCTGAACCCTAAA